TGCGATCGGAATGTTGTAGGTTTGATTCCAGCTTCCTCCTGCCATGTCGATGTGCCCTTGGGCAAGGCACTTAATCGATCTGCGTATCCGTGTATGAATGTGTCAGCCTTTGTGAGTGCGAATGGGTGAATGTGACTCTAGTGTAAAGCGCTTTGAGTGGTCAAAATGACTGGAAAAGCGCTATTTAATTTACCATTTAAAACTATTTTTTGATAACATTGTAGCAGTAGGTAAATGCTGCTGCATTTGGTCCTTGAATTTGATTAAATTCTCCTGGAAATCCTTGGATTTGAGGTTAACTGAGGTTTGGCAATCCTGTAATTCCCACAGTGAAAAATGAAAAGTGATAAATTGGTCTTTACACTGTCGTCGTATGAAATGACTCCTGCTGTATGGCGTTGCTCGTTTCTGAACAGACCTATTAATTTAAAACACACTTCATAGTTTTAATAACTTGGACCTCTGAGTGCAATCTTTAAAGTAAATTGAACATGAATTCAATGTTTGGAGCTTTTTCTGCAGTTTTGCATGTAGACTCTGAAATCTGTCTATAACTTGCATCATAGCTTGATTTCCCCTTCTTAGAAATTATATTTACCCATGAGGCTTCTCCAACATCAGCACATGGGGATGCCAAGTGTTGCAATTTACCGCATGTTTTTTCTTTTCCATGTCTGAAGAAAAAGCTTTTTTGTAGAGGGACGGGGGATTAGAAACCTCCAGGAATGATTTTATTAAATTAATTGACAATTTTGGGAGGAGATGGGTTCCTTAAATGTGAATTTCTGCCTTTTTGATTGCAGAGAGATGCTGGACTTTATTAGATTCAAAAAGTGTAAGAGTGGTTCAAGGAGCAGAGTAATTTTGTAAAACATAAAATAAAAAAAATATTTGTTTGAGGCATTTCTTTTATTTTGAAGGGGCATTATTATTTACAAACAAAAATTTCTGCAGTTCACTTTTTTGTCCATTTCACTACATAATATCTATGTATACATGTGCAAAATTCCTTGATTAGATTAAATTATCCAAATGTATTGGTTGTATGGGCACAAAATTAATTAATCCAATCATGATGTTTAATCCAGAACAGAATAAACTGACGTGCAGTTTTAAAATGTTCCTTTAAAAAACACTGAAGTTCTACTTCTCTTGGTCCTGATCAAAAACAGTCGCAGTCCGTCTGTTCTGTGTCGCCTTGGCGCCCAGATGGACCAGCGCCATGTCATAATAAAGGTTAAACTACAAGCTGAGCAACACAAGCTGTTGGTCCTCCTGCGTTACGGCGTGAGGAATCAGCAGACCTGCTTTGTCACCTGGTCATAGGCCACACCTGTGCAATTATGCTGCTGTGCCACAATCAGAATGGCCTGATCAAAACCAATGTTTACAGGCGGGTTACAAATTCATACCTATCAATCTGAATCCAATCAGATTACTCCAGATTGGGCGTTTCACATGATCCATTTTTATTCCGATCCGTTTGTTGGTTTCTGTTTTTCAGTCATCATTTTTTAAGAAACTAAAACTGTCTTTTGCACCATTTAAGACGGTGTGAAATTAAGTGCTAAACATTTATATAAAATGCCTCCACCCAAGTGAAATTGACAGGATTTTGGAGAAACTCTAGACTTGAAAAGACATGCAGGACCTCTACTGAGCAAACACATTAAGGAGACACAGGTACAGTGTACACAGTGTCTGTATTTGGCTTCAGAGCACATTGTTTCGTTTTTTATAAAGTGGCCAAAAACGAGCCCCGACATGTGAGTTGAGTCTTGACTAAAAGAGGTTCGACTGCCTGAGGGTGGAGTCTTTCACCCTGTTTTCACCTGAGCTCATGATGTTCACTTGAACGCTAGATGTAAAGGCTTTCAGTACTTCTGAGAACACTGTGTACATTCAGAGAGCAAGCTTCAGTTTGATTCATGTAGGATGACAGCGCCATTAAACATAAACCCTCTCCAGACATGCTCTTCTTTCCAATAACCTGACAGCCAAGGCACGTTATCCTTCATGTCTTAATGTGCATGTGGCTCAGTTCCCCAAAAACATCTCCCATTGGGACTCGGGCCTGAATGAGTAATGTGAAATACTCGCATATCTTTCTCCCTCACATTTTCTTTATAAATATTAATTACTTCACCTCTTTTTTCTTCTTCATTCTTTTAGTTGGGAAGCTGGTCAGAGTTGAATGGAGCTAAATACAAGGGAATCCCTAGAGAAAAACCTTAGAGGCTACGTAAGGCTTGAGACTGGGGTGGAGGTTTGCTTATAGAGAAGGGGAACAACTCAAGATTACACCAGAGCTGCAATAGAAAAACAAAGATTATTTATGTGTTAGAAAGGCAGAGTGAAAGTCCAGACCTAAACTCATTGAGCTCTGTGGCAAGGCTTGACTTATTTTGCAAAGAAAAGCAAATATTCAATTTTTTGTCTGAATGTTTGGATGTTTCTTCATGACAGATTTCAGTGAATGGAGATTCTAGGAAGTATTTCCTCATGAGGGATGAATGTGAATATGTGCTACACTTCCAGATTATAATTGTAAAAAAATGTTTAAAAACTGTTTTCTTTTGCTTTTATTTTTATGTCCTACTTTGTTTGTCTGTGACATAAAGGACTAAAGTTTGTAGTTTGAAAAATTCCTACTTGCCCTAAAATTCACCATCTTTTTCCACTTATTTCCCCCATTTAGGTATTTATGTCAATGATGGGTAACGATAAGCAGGGGCAGCTGATCGTCTATCACCTCATTGAGCTCCTCAAATCAGGCAGCAGGCTGCCTCAGCCCCTGGGTTGTCCTTCAGAGGTATGCACCGTTGTGTTTATCTACGAGCTCTGAATGGCTCTTATTAAGTCCTACCACCTGTTTCATATAACAGCAACTTTCCCTAGATTTTGATAACGACTTCCTCTGACAGCTGTGCTTTGTCACGCTACACAAACCAACATGTCAACGTGAATCAGGGATGTCCAAAGTGCGGTGCGTGGGCCACTTGTGGCCCCTGGACTGATTTTGTGCGGCTCCCAACTGCATTTCTAGAATGATTCAAATTTGATCCATTTGATCTAAAGGTTAAACTACAAGCTGAGCAACACATGCTCAGCTTGTATTGCTGAGCATGTGTTGCATTGTATTTGTTTCCTACAATAAACAAATAAAATAAATTATGAATATTTTTCTTGTCCACAAATACTTTTGACCCATGTGACAAAAGATTTTGACGCCTCTGTTGTACATGTTTCTGTGTCGTAAACCTCTAATGATTGATTTCCTTTACTCTCTGCTGACATTCTTCCTTTTCTTTCCAGATCTACCAGATCATGGAGGAGTGTTGGGATAAAGACCCAACCCTGCGTCCGTCTTTTAACGAGCTGGCTCTGCGCATCGACCTGATCAAGGACAGTGAGGAGTTTTAAAAGTTAAGTGCCCTCCTCACGTTGAACCACGACACTTGAAACACTGTTGCCCTGATTGTGGCAGAAGGATGAAGACCAAAGCAAAGAAAAGTGGAGCGCCGTGACTTGGAACAAGGAATCTGCTCGAGAACTACTGCCGAGGTGCCTTCCAGCAAGGCATTTGTGTAATGTGGAGCAGCTGAGTGGCCTGGAAATGTTTGGATGGTCAAACTTTTGAAGCGGATGTTGCTGAAACTGTATTTGGTCAAAGTTTAAAAGAAGACTTGAAGCACCTGTAGAGACTGTGACGAGACTGTTGCCAGAACTAAAGCTACAGACGCTTGTGGTGAACAAGTTCTCTGTTTATGAGTGTGTGTGTGTGTGTGTGTGTTTGCGTGTGTGTGTGCATCTGCATGAGAGGTCCATACGGCTAGCTGGGCTAGCTCTTGCCATCCCCTTTTCTGTCACCTGAGAAGAAGTGGACTGATGGCTTCTTTTTTTTTTTTTTGTTAAATGTGTGTGCTTAACTGTATTATAGCTGTAAATTGTGTACATATGTCCAGAAAGATTTTATAATTTTATAAATTTAAATAATGTTAACACTATATTTGAGATGCCAGCAACTGCCATTGTTAAAGTATGTGCATACAAAGGTGATTTGAAAAATCTGTCATTGTTTTCATTGTGAGAGGTGGCGTGAAAATAAAGACTATATCTGTGAAGAAATTTCTTTACATGCATTTCCTTCATTTTCCTCAAAACTTCCATTTCACAAATGTAATGTATAGTTGAAATCACATGATCCACTGGGAAATTAGTGGAACATGTGATGCTTTTGATTTTTTTATTATTACATTGTTACTTTAATTTAAAAGCTAGATACACTAAAACTCAATGTTTTAGTATTTTTACAGTATTCTGTAAAAATACTAAATTTAGCTGTTCAAGTTGAAGATGTGTGTTAGCTCTTAATTGGTCCAAATCTTTGGTCAAAAAAACAGAATTACCTAAGTTTTTGTTTTTATTCAGCTAAAGAAAGTCATAGCACATCCACACATTTGTTCTGTGCATCTGCTCATTGCTTAAATTAGTTAAGTCACCAAGTGACAGTAATGAAAGGTATCACCAGCATAATTACGGTATTTTTTTTATTTGCTAGAATCTGAACAAGGGGGGTCATGTAGCTATAAGTGTCTGGAATCTTGGGAGATCCCAGATATGATTTTTATCAGGTTCTATGTAAAGTTACCAGTTGACCCAAAGAAGTTTATATCCTGTTAACTAATGTAAGAGGATTACATTACTGAAAATTATTTAACATTTCTGTACCAGAAGGCCTGACGAAGTTCTTCTGTAATGTTCTACAACCAACATCTTTTAATAAAATTAGTACAAAGATAATCATTGTGGTGTTTTATTGTGAAATACCAACCGGATGTGACGTTCAGTTTGCTTTGCTATAGACGTATTTTAGATAAATTTATGTTGGCCTATTGTTTTTTTGTCTGTTTTTTTAAGCAGTTGTTTGGTTCGTATGCTGTAACATGTATTAATTTAACGCCAGGTAAATAAATTCAATTAAAATACCAGGCTTTGTTTTGAAAATCGGATGTGACGTTCGATACGTATCAGCTTTAGCTTCATAAAAGGTCGTAGCCATTCGCTGACATTTCTATCCGGATGAAAAAAAAATCCTTATAAGGTGTTGGTTTTTAGTTTCAAAATTAGTTTGTATGCTGTAGCGTTTGTCCAGGAGATGCGAAGATCTAGGACTCGAGTAATTTTAAACGTTGTTGTATTCGAGGGGGGTTAGATGAGCGTACCGTAGACGTCCGAATAGAGGCGCACAGCAATTTAAAGGGCTCTGAATTTCACTTTGTTTAAGAAAAAAAAAACACTGCTGCTGTAAGTGCATTTGAGAGGATAACAAATGTCGGGGACAGAAAGCATCGTGGAAAGACGTGAGTCGACAATTTAACCTTTGTTTTCAGTAACTCTGCATGTCTCGTTTGGATTTTGTGAAATGTTTAGTAGTTTTGCTGTTTACCTTGAAGAAGGGGTTTGTTTTATTTAAAAATGCGACATCTCCGATGTTAAAATGTTACACATTAAATTATCTCATCCCAGGGGGGAGGGGGGGGGGCGCCGATTTATGTTTTTGCATCCACCTGAATAATGTGCAGTCGCGCCACTGCCATAAGACCTTCTGCGTTGTGAGCATATCCAACCTGTTATACAGCAGGGCAGAATAGCAGGTTATTTTACATATTTGTAAAGACACTAGGCGTGATAAGTCAAAAGTATGATCTTGAGGGTTTCATTTATGTATTGCTTAAGATCCTCCTGGGAAATTAGTCCTTTAATTCTGGAAAGTTTCTTCCGGCTGACTTTGTAATTGTCTTTATGCGTTTCTGAAGGTCCTATATTTTTATACAGTGACAAACAATATTTATGTTAGCATTTTAAGGCATCGCTTTTGCTGTACTATTATAACTTGTGTACATCTGTGCACATTGCAGACTCATTTTCATGAGTCCTTCCCACATGGGGGATCATTACGTAACAGCCTCCGAGCGGCAGCCGGGAGAGCAGCCTGCAGAGTAGCTGGAGATGAAGTCCAGGAGAGTCGGACCTCCAGACGGGGGGTACGGCTGGGTGGTGGTCGCTTCAGCCTTTTTTGCTATGGGCCTTACCGGAGCTGTCCTCAAAAACTTCGGCCACTTCTTCCTGGAGATCCAGAGTCACTTTGGAGTCCTGACCAGCACTACCTCATGGGTTTCTTCCACAACTATTGCTATGTTTCATATAGGAGGTAAGCGTGTGGCTTTTTGTTGACAGTGCAACTTATTTTAAAACCAGTGTATTTTTATAGTTTCTTTAGTTGTTGCTGTTTTTTTTTTTTTTTTAACTAGCTCCAGCAGCCAGTGCTCTGACGTTACGGTTTTCTCAGAGAGTGGTCATCGTAGTTGGAGGAGTTCTGTGTACTTTGGGGATGTCGCTGGCCTCTCTGGACATCAATCTGCCTTGGCTCTACCTCACTATGGGCGTCCTAGAAGGTAGGTAAGACTTCCTGACTGTATTTAATTGCTTGGTGAACTTTTCCTGATAAATTACATCATTAAAAGCTTCAGTCATTTGCTTTTTGGAAGATTTTTTCCACTGCTTCATTGGTTTGGTAAATAAAAAGAAGCAGAACTAAAGGTATGGAAGAACAGTTTTTTCTTTTTAACTGTCATGCAATCTTGCTTTAAGAAGTCACTGACTGCCTGGTTCAACACTCCCTGTCTTGTCTTGATCTTTGTGTATTTAGTCTCTTCTGAGTTTAATCAGAATTAAGAAATGAAAATATTTCCGTGTGACACTGCAGTTGTAAGCAGCAGACAAAGAAATAATATTATTTAATGTAATATATGGCTTTACAGATATGAGCACAAATAAAGTGGTAAAATTACAAACTACTACATCTCTCACTCTCACCAATTGTAAGCTTAAACAGCGTCTACAACCAGAGTGAAACATTTTGACTCTTTTGCTCCTGAATCACAAACCTTAGTTTTTTTTTCCTATCAACTACGATTGAATTTGATGGACACAATTTTTTTGTAATCTTGGGAAAGATGTGTAAAAATCCTTAAAATAAAAAAGTATGTAATTATCAAAATGTTTAAAAAATTTCACTTTGTAATTAGTAAACATTTTGTGTTTTGTTTAGGCCTTATGTTTTTGACCATTATCGTTCTGAAAGATCCTATTTTCAGTTTTCTGACCAAGTTTTTATTTAGAGTTTCAAACAGTCCTTGGTTTCATCCACTAACAAGAATTACAGAACATTTGGAAGAGAAGCAGGCCCACAGCATCACAGATCTCCCACCGTACATGAGCTGCTTCTCCACATATTCATCCTTTTTGTTTCACTAACATCTTTGAGTTTTAGTTTAACTTGAGTCTGATCAAAAACACAGTTTCAGGTAAAGTCATTATGAAGATTTGATTACCACAAGATGTCAGTTTTTCCTTGATTTCTCCAAGAGAACTGTTTGGATTTTTTTTATACCATCTCATCACAATTCTTTGTAAATCATATTTATACCCAAGATAAATTAGGTATTACGTATTACTAATTACAAGTTTCTAGAAACTACGATCAACTTGAAGAAGAAGCAAATGCTTCAGCTGCATTTATTTTAATAAGTTTGTTATCAATACCAATAATTGTCCCACTTGTTTGTTAAGAACGATTATTTCTAAAGCTTTAAATTAAGTATACTTCATTTAAGGCTTAATTTTTCCTGATTATATCACTGTACAATACAAGACTGATCTTTGAGCACTTGTTACCCATCTTTACAAAAGGTTCCAGGTTTCATGACTCACCCTTTAATTAGATATTATGATCGTCTTTTGATTTCACAACAAAGACTTCAATGTCTTATTGTCGCTATGATCTGTTTTTATGTTTTCTGAAATAAGTCAAGTTGTTCCAGAGGAACAGGAGAGATGACAAGGTAGTTTTTATTATTATTATTATTATTATTATTATTATTATTATTATTCAAGCAAAATAAATTGTATTTGTTCTCCAAGGTACTGAACTCTGGGTGCTTCAACAGTCAAATAGCCAAAAGCATCTGAGTTTTTAAAAGCATTAATAACATTTTAGCCAGTTTACAGACATTCGGTTGCTCTCAGAAGTATTCACACCGCTGATGAACACAAGCTTACTGCGATGTAAAAAGTGAGAGCAAGGTTAAATCATTTTAAATCCTTCTCTATAAATAAAATAAATCTGTTTGAAGAAATATAAAGGGGCAATAACCAAGTTGCACCATGAGTCTGGTAGAATGACACTTCTTGACTTTACGTTCTTTTCAAATCAGTCTATTTACAGCCTTTGTTAAAGATTTTCAGTCAAATTAAAGTCAAAATGGCAACACTTCTGGTTAGTTTTGATTTTGCTTTGCAGCTAAATTTATCATCCAGTATGTCATGCAAAAATCTGATTTCATGGACTTTGTTTTAAATCAACACTCTCGATAGTTATCTTGATTACATTATGGTCTTGGTTATTTCGGTTTCCAAATATCATGAATTTAGTTTTATCAAAATTTAATAAAAACGTGTTGTTTTAGTCATTTCATTTCTGTTTTAGTCATTTCATTTCTGTAGTGACCATCTGTGAGAGTGGTTGGATGTTTCCTCCAGTACAGAAGATACCAGTATCATCTGCAGATATAATGAATTCCAGCAAACATTTTTCTTCTTCTGCTTCCAGGAACAGGTATCTCATTCTCATGGGTTCCTGCTATCAGCATGGTGAATCACTACTTTTCAAGATGGCGCCCCATCGCCTACGCCATCGCCAGCTCAGGGGAGTGTGTCTTTGCCATCGTTTTCAGCCCGCTGTTCAAGTGGCTCATCGAGAAGTACAGCTGGCAGGGCGCGTTGCTCATCATCGGAGGCCTTCAGTTCAACCTGTGTGTTTGCGGTGCGCTCATGAGACCCCTGGAGGCAACTCGAGCCTCACAAACCAACCTCAAAGAGAGCACAGAGGACAGTGCTGCTGCGCTACCCCCAAAGAAGAAGGCGGTCTTCGACTGTGGCCTGCTGAAAAAACCCGAACTTCTTCTCTACATCCTGTTTGCGATCTTTGCAGCTACCGGGTTTTTCATCCCGACCCTCTTCCTGGTTCCCTTTGCCAACAGCTTGGGGATCGATAAGTACTGGCCCGCGTTCATCCTGTCTGTCATGGCCGTCACCGACCTGGTCGGCAGGCTGTTCTGTGGCTGGCTGGCTAACATGAGGCTCCTGAGGAACCTGCAGCTGCTCACCATCGTTACGACGCTGCTGGGGGTCGTGCTGCTCCTGCTGCCCATCAGTCACAACTACTGGTCCGTTCTGGTGTTCGCCTCGCTCTACGGCTTCCTGTTCGGCTGCATGGTTGCCATTCACGTCACCTCCATCGTGGACATTGTGAGCTTGGAGGGCTTCGACAGCGGCCTGGGGCTCTTCATGCTGTTCAGGAGCATCGGAGGCTTCATCGGGCCGCCTGCTGGAGGTGAGCATTTTATAACGTTTTGTGTTCACTGGAGCCAAAGCAACAAGATTTGAGACCTCGATGCTGTAACCAGCAGGTGTTTTTATAAAACTGGCATCGATGTTTTAATCAGGGCTGCAGCTAACGATTATTTTAGTCATTAATTATTCTGACTGGATCTGCCGTAATAACCAACAAAACAATTAACTGCATGATAAATGAAACTGACCTCAGTGATTTACATTTGATTTATTGTTTTTCTCTTTTTCTCTGTCTTTCCACCAAAAACTGGATGTAAAAACTCTTCATTTCATTCAATAATTTATCAATAATTAATAATTGGATAACAAAAAGTGCTTAATATGTGCTTTTTCTTTTTTTATTTTCTTTTTTATCCTAAATACAAAATTGACACATGATTAAATGATAAATGATTCTAACAACTGTAAAATATCATTTAAATTGTTTCCATGAAATCTGGGCAAGAATTGATTATATTTTATTACTTATTCCTATTTTAAATATTTAATAACTTTTGTCTGGTAGAAAGCAGCATTTAAATTAGATCAGAATAAAATATTTAAGGCTTTGAAAAGCATCTCAGGAGAGAATACTGGTAGAGAAACAACAAAATATCCCAGTGGGGAGTCAAAGCCCCATAATCTTTACTAAACTTTAGAGAAGAACAAATAAAACTGACAACGATGTTGCTAAAAAGTCAATTTCTGACTGGTTATGTGCACATTTCTTTTCTCATGGTTTCCATTGCTGTCAGAGATAAAAACTAATCTGTGATAATCCTGCGAGGATTATGAACTGAAACTGGCCTCGCATCAAAGAAACGTCAAATGATCTCGAGTTTAAATCACCTGCATGTTTTCTCAGTGAATTCCTCTGCGAGTAAATAGTTTACTCTTTACATTTCTCCAGACTGAAGCGTTCTGGCAGAAACTGCATGAGCTACATTACATTTTTTGGAGAAATGCTGATGAATTTTAATGCTTTGTTCAGAGTTTTTGAATTTGACTAAAAGCTAAAGCTGCTAAAATAAAAGAGAAAAATACTTTTTTCATCACTACAGCTTCAGAAGAACTATAGATAAAAACTGACTGTAAATTCCCATTCTTTGCATTTTTCCAGATGTGGATTTGTGGAGATTTTTGTTTACATTTGCAAGCAAAATAACGTGTTAATCAGTCAGGAACATGAAGATTGCATTTTGAGGGGAACTATACATTTCTGTTGATTTCTGTTCAGCTGATGTTATCGTAGCAGGATTTTGTTTGCAGTATAGACTGGCTGCTTTGACATTAGAGCGCCATCTACAGGAGGAGTTAATACCCTTGATGCTGACTTATGCTAGTCTATCTGCAGTCCTTCCGGTGCTTTGTAAAATATTCACTCACCTTAAAGTTTTCCACATTTTTATCAAGTTATAACCCCAAAACCTCGATGAGTTTATTAGGATTTTACTTGACAAACCAACACAGAATAGCAATTAATTGTGACTTGGAAGGAAAATGTGCACTTTTCTAGTTTAAAGCAGGTCAAATCTCAATATTTCTCTACCCAGTTTGATTGATCTTGGACTTTTCCGCAAAGAAAAATGGGTCATAATTTCAGTCTCTATATGCGAAATGTTGGTAGAGACAAATCCCTGAAACTTTCAGCAGCAATTGTTGCAAAAGTTAATTCCACAAAGTTCTGACTCAGCAGGCACAGAACCAGAATAGTTTTACTTCTGTAAAAGCAACATTTTCCTATCCAATTATTAATCAGTTAATCCAAAAAATAGTCAATTCATCTACAAATGTTTAAAGGATTAAAGGAATGCTGTTATGCCATTTTAGGCAATAAAATGTTTATTTTCTTATTTTAAAAAGTCACTGACTTATTCATTTAAATTTTTTTACATTAAGGCTTAAGTGATTAAATGAAAAATCTGCAGAACGAGACAAATTTTTTATCTGATTAATCAATTAATCGTTGGACTAGTGTACAATTGTCACCCTTTGTCTTCCGCTGCAGGCTGGTTGGTGGACCAAACGAACAACTTCGGCGCTGCCTTCTACCTCTCGGGCTTCTGCCTCGTTACATCAGCTGTGTTTGTCGTCGTGGTCGACCGCCTCGTCCAGAGGAGGAAATCTGTGGAGGCCGCCGGCCACCAGACGATCCACTACGAGGGCGACGGGGACACGGGGAAAATCGAAGGACTCGTTGTTGCACAAGAATCTTAACTTAAGGCCAGTGTGTGAAGACTGAGCGGACGCCGGACGATGTGGCTCGGACTGAGTTAAACAAATGTGTTTGTGTTTGGCTGGGTTGTGAGATTAATTTTCTATACACCTGCAAAAAAACGAAAAACCACACAAACTTCATACGATTCACCTGAAAGTAGACCAAAGGATTAAAGACAAAACATGGCCGTTTTAACAAACTGAGTGGGAAAAATCTAAATCTTCCCGGTGACTTTTGATTGGAGTTTCACAACTGAGCTTCACTCAGATTTTATTTTGCTCAGAAAAATAACATGTAATCTCCTCTTCCAGCTCGATTACAGTCAAAACTTTGATTTGCCTGTTTTAAAGCTTTTCTTCTTTTTTCCATTATTGCCGTTTTAGAGGAAGACAAACGTTTAGGGATGAAATTCATCACTACATTATGCTGCTAAATTAGCTAAACGATGACACTACCGCCAACATGTTTTATACACATTTATACTGGAATGTGCTGTTTTCTTTTCCTCAAATAAATATGCAATAAGTTTCATAAGTTTTTTCTATCTGATCTTAAATAAACTGAATCAGTCATTTACTGAGCAGCAGCTTTCCTGTCCTGAGATCCAAATCGTTTTTGTTATTCTTACTGGGATGAACGGATGCTGGGCAATTTTCTTTTTATTTAAAAAAATAAAATTTTATAAGAAATTTGATTTCTGATTTTATTTTTTTCCCCCCCCCCTTTTTTTTTCCTTAAAAAATTACAAGTTACAGAAAATATCTTTAAAATTTGGCTTTTATCTTGATAATTGTTTCTGGGACTTGACCGTAATTCAAAGTTGAAATACATAAAAGCTGTAAAACAGACGCTGGTCGTAGCTGGGTGGGTTGACATCACTCTGGAAACCAAAGTGGAGCTTTGCTGGAGAAAAAAAGAAAAAATTAAATCTCCAAAAACAAATAATTCAATTACAGTCGATTTGTCAGCAGACCTAGGATGAACTCATAAACATCAACTGTGAAAAGGCCTTTTGGTTTAGTTTGTTCTCCGACTAATTGTCAGCTTTCGCTCTTAATAGTTTATTATTATTATTATTATTAGCGTTACTTTGCTTTATCAAATCCTGAGAGACTCCCACATTTCCCCTCTGAATTCTGCATCTTGTTCAGTCTTTTTATAACCAGAATATTCAGGACAAACGGAAACAGTTTGTTCGTCTTTTTCCAAGTCACGGGTTCTTCTGTCCCACAAACAAACCCAGGAAATCTGTTGAGGCTCCGGAGTCGACTTTTCCTTTTTAAACAAATGAACTAATTGTTCCTACATAGCACAAAAACACTAAAAGGCTGCAGCTGCAGAGGAGTGATGAATATCTGCAACGTTAACAGAGAATATGTGGTAATTATGAAGGAGAATGAGTTCACTGTAAAATCTCATTTTCAAGAGAAAAGTTTGACCGTTTCGCTGATTTTGATGAAAATAAATACAACGAAAGGATATAAACCAATAAGGAAGTTATCATGACTCTGTAAAACAAAACAAGATGCAAATTAAACTGAAAATCAATGTGAAATTGTTCTACTGGACTGAATAGATGAAGCACACTTTTTTTATTTGAGCCCGTTTGCATTTTTTAGGTAATTTCAGATTTTAAAAAATAGTTTATTTCTTCAGTTATTCTTCAATAACTTCAAAGTCATGTGACCTATTAACTCAAAACCAGCGTGAAATTCTTTTGAGGCACACTTAGTTTGATTCCATTTTAGATCTTTTTATATTTTTTTAGCAGTGTCAAAATGCATTATTTTTTCTCGATAGCTTCTGGGTCATGTCACTTATCCACTCAAAACCAGAGTGAAATTGTTCTATTAGACTGGACGGCCATTTTTTTTTTTACTATTCTTACATCTTTTAAAGTCAAAATTAAGGCGTTTTCTTCAATAGGTTCCAAGTCATATGACTTAACTCAAAACCAGTGATTTTGAGTTAACAAGTCATTGATTTGTTAATTCAGAATCATTGATTTTGAGTTAATAGGTTACATGACTAATTAAACCCAAACTCCCAGACATATTAAAGGGTTCAGTGTTTTCAGAAGCATGCGTCCGTCATCCTCCTGCTGCTGTCCCGGAGCAGAGAGCCCGTCCCAGGCAGCCAGCTGGGGGGCCGCGCGCCGCAGAATGAAACCGACACCAGGATGTGGACGTGCTCAGAGAGGGACGAGCTCCACAAGCTGCTGGGATGGTCAGAGAGGAGTTATGCAACCAGCTCAGTGTGCGGCTGGTCACATGGTTCAAGTGCTTGTGTTGAAGCTAAAATAATGGTTTCAGCAATGAAAAATTGATCATCTGATAAATTATTTGCTTCCACTTGAAATCTAAAGGTGGAGTAGTTTAAAGCTGCAGTACTTTTTTTTGTTACATATTTGTTTGTATGAGACAGATTTGTATAAACAAGAGCTCCTCTGCTTTCTCCCAGCGCTAACTGGAAGCAGTCAGAGACAGGAGGTGTGTCTTAGCGCTGTCAATCACAATCTCATGTGGCACTGCTCAACCTCACTCCCACTTCACTCAATCTCTATTATGCTGTAGCTAGCATAGCCTGTTGTGAATGTAAGGCTAGTTAGCATAGCCACCAATGACAGCAGATAAAGTTTTCCTGTAATAAGTTGTTTCTCTATTAGCACATTGAGCAGAGTACATAAGATTGATTGACAGCGATAAGACCCTCCTCCTGGCTCTGATTGGCTGTTTTTGGTCAGAGTGGTTCATTTACAGTAACAGTAGCCCAGTTCAAGAGATTAATCTTTTCACAGATTATCTGCCTCATACTAAACTATCACCACATGGTAACAGTTGATACTGCAGCTGGAGGATCTGACATTTTAAACTTTTTTTTTTTGCTGATTTTGACAAACTTAAGTTTTTGCCTGGGTTGGGAAAGAAATTCTCATTTTTGATTTAATTCTGGTTTGTATTGTGGCATTAAACAAATGGAGAAAATAGCACCTGTAGAATCAGGGGGCAACTACATACTTTCTGAAGTGTATGCGAACATGTCAGAGGTTTTGCTGAAAGGCTAAGAACACTACATATTCTTTTTTGTGAACATTAATGTTTTATGTCAGGGAAACAAGGTATATTGTTTTGTTGTATACTTGGCTTGAAATGCTCTCAATGACAATTTCTTTTATATTTCATTATGATTAATCCTGGGAAACTATTTTATTGGGTTAAACGTATCCAACAACTCTATATCTGTTCAACAATTCTTTCTGTAGACTTTCCGTTTAGATGATTTTTAAAATAAGCGCTAGAAAGACTAGATTGGCACAGCTTTAAGGAACCGGTCTTCCTGATCTCGACGCGGCCGCGCACAGCAAATCTGTGTCGCTGCAGAAACAACAACAAAATAAAAAAGATTAAGAATAATAATGAAATAATATGATTTCTACATGTAAACGTCTGACTGTCACTTCATATCCACTAATCTATTGTTTATACCCACTTATAAAAACTAGGATGGAAATAAAAAGTTAATTTATTCTGAAATTTCTGCATGGTTCTTCTCAAATAATCTTTGTTCGCAGCAATGATGTATTTAATTGCCCTCATAATCATCAGTTGTTTATCCATAATATGTTTTATATTTAGCAACTTATTTGTCCTTGAACTCTAAATTTATTGGTAGCAACTGATGCAATGAAACCTCAAAAAATGACGGCAGATATACAGATGTCAGCTAATGAGCTGGTATCTGGCGCCATCTTGTGTAAATGACAAGCAACTGCAGCATATTGGTAAAATGATAATGATACAATGTGATTTAGATGATAGATAGATAGATAGATAGATAGATAGATAGATAGATAGATAGATAGATAGATAGATAGATAGATAGATAGATAGATAGATAGATAGATATTTATAGAGAAAGAGACAGATTGATGTATATATAGAGAGAGATAGATAGATTTAGATACAGATACCTGCCTGCCTACCTACCTACACACACACACACACACACACATATGTTTTCTTGCCCAGAAAGATTAGTTTTCAAAATTTTTCCCAATTTGTATAGATTTAGACTTCTAAAAGGCTCTTTTCTAAATCTCCCTTTAGTTAATAAATGTGGTTGTATTATTTTCTGTTTAGAATTAGAAATAAAAGCCTTACAATGGATGAACATGAGTACTGATGTTGTTGAACGTGGGGGAAGCCGGAGCACCCGGAGTGAACCCACTCCTACACGGGGAGACGTTTCCCACCGTGCAGTCCTGACTTTTTAATATTAAAATGTCCAATTAACAACAACAGTAGTTCTTTCTCCAATTCCCTCCAATTACCCAACCCACAGGTGGCCCCACCCCCTTTCAAATCTAATGTACCGGAGACATAAGTTGATGTCTACACTGGAGGGACTTACTGTCTGTCTTTGAATTTGCGCCGTTGTTTTGGAGTGAAAGCCTTTTTGATTCGCCTCCACAGTGAAATATTTTTCCTGGGTCTCTCTTTTTGGGCAGAGATATTGCTCTGCTCAGCTGACTCTTCAGTTGCTTGAGTTTCTGATTCCCGATTTCTATGAATCTCATTTATGATGGTGGCCGTCTGCTCTTCAACTATTACTCCTTGTTCAGTATTTACTTTAGAAACGTTTTTACGATTGAGGTTTTCCAATTCATAGGCAGCATTCATAGCTGCCTGTCTCATTTCCTCTTCAGAGACTTGCTGGGAGCCAGAGATCACTGATTGAATCAAATTAATGTAATATTCGATGGAGGCGGTCTGATTCCCAACAGTTTCTTGTATAGAAACTTCTTTATTTTCAGTATTTACTACAGAAACTTTTTTACTTTTAAGGTTTTCCAATTCAGAGGCAGCATTCATAGCTGCCTGTCTCATTTCCTCTTCAGAGACTTGCTGGTAGCCAGAGATCACTGATTGAATCAAATTAATGTAATATTTGATGGAGGCGGTCTGACTCCCAGCTGTTTCTGGTTCTAAAATGTCTTGTTCACTGTTTGCTCCAGAAATGTTTTCATCATTGAGGGTTTCCATCTCCGTTTGCGTCGAAATCGTTTGACAAACTGGTTTTAGTTGATCGCTGGTTTCCTGTTTGTCCATCTCCATTTGTACTGAAGCAGATTGGTAATGCACTGTTTCCTGCTGTGAGCTGTCCTGTGAATCTGTCTTAATTTCAATAGAAACCATTGACTTCATGGTTTCACTTCTCTCTGAGAGTATTTTCCTCATCAGATCGTCCTGCTGTTTAAGTTTAGCTTTTAGTTTATTATTTATATCGAACATCTCATCAAGCTGCTTCATTAAGTATTTCTGTACTTTGATATATTCCAGTTCAGCTTCCTTAAATTTGCCTTCACATGTACATTTTGGTTCACTTGTCTTTTCAGAAGAGTGGGGCAAATTCTGAATTTCAGATAAACACTCTCCTTGAACATTTTCTGGTGTTTGATTAACAGGACCTTCAGTTAAATTCTCTGTTTGGATGTAGGGCTTACCCGGAGATGGATGTGTCTCCCGTTTTTGATCAACTTTCTCCTGTGGGGTGAAGATGGATTCCTTTTTGGTGACTAGCTGTGTTGTAACAATCACAGGTTCCTCTTTGCAAATCTCATTTTTTAAGCAATCTTCCTGATCACCTTCTTCTTCAAGCAGAAAAGTGTCCTGCTTGTTAACATTTTCAGTGCTGGACATAGAGAACTGTTCTTTCTCTGGTGTCACTTGCAGTACGGAGATCGATTCCTGTTTGGTAACCAGTGAAATGTCCTCCATTCCAGTACTTTCAGCTGGAGATCTTAGATCAGCGGGAGCATGTGTCTCTAACCCGATTTGAATTGTTATCTTTTTCTTCTTGATGATGGTCGTCTTTGGTGGCTGTTCCTCAGACTTAGAGGGCTGTTCCTTCTCTGCTACATCGACTGTCTCCTGCTCTCCAGCGATGGACTGCATCATAACCTTTGCTTGTTTCAGGTTCTAAGATAAAATCGCTTCTCTAAAACTGAGTCAAGATTTCACGATAATCCTGATGTCCAAAAGAAATGTGCAAAAAAACAAAATTGAAAATCCTGCTGTGAACTGCTTAGTAAATTCTCAAGAGAAACGTATTAACAACGGCTGCGAACAGGTTGTGATGAAAGTAGATTGATGTGACGAGTTTATATAATCCCTGGTGATGTCAGAATTCTGCCTTTGGAGTTATATTGTGATGTCACATTGTGATGTCACAGTTTCATTTGATATTCAGAGCGGGCTTGTCTGATGGGTTTTTTATGAACATGGAGGATGCGCGCGCAACCTGACTGCAGAAAGAGTAGGCGGGCTTTTAAACCGTCACTGGTTGCCATAGTTACCCACCATTACTTTGTTGTTTGAGAAGGACCTCGCTGCAGAATTTATAATAAATTTATTTACAAATTTAAAAGAAAAACCGCGCCTCAGCGCGTTCTCGAAGGGACGTGAGCCCTAGCTACCTGTATGGGAGGGGAGAGCGGCTGGCAGGAGGGGAGGGGCGCCTAATCAGTGCTGTTCCTCTGTTATTGATCATTTCATACACAAACAGCTGATAGGTATGTAAAATACTGACTAGGAAAAAAAAAATCCCCACATCGTTTTTGCGCCCCCTCTAGTGTAGCGCCCCTATGCGCTGCATACAGTGCATAACCACTTCTTGCGCCATGGACTTGAACTTATACTCAGTTACATTTACTTGAGTAAGTTTTTGTAAAAAAAAATTACTTTTAGGTCTAGCTTACCACATACTTTTTTCATTTTTAAGTTCTAATATTATGAAGTATTACCCTTCCCACAGTGAGTAACTTAAAGAACCAATGTGTATTAACCAAAAATGCGCCAGATATAAACACAAACTGTTTAAGAAATGCTTTATAAATACAAATGCATTGCATTGTAAACTTACAGTTTATGTTTAAGCAAAGCTTGTTTTTGCACAAGCTTTGCTTTAATGTTATATTTTTATTTTCTGAGTTTTTTGAGCCATTTAGAGATCAAGTGAATAAAATAAACAGTACATATTGTCACAGGAAATATTTTTCTTGTTTTTTTTTTGTTTTAGTCTTTAAAATACCAGAATTTCTGCATAACATACTTTTAAATCATCAGTTATGAAATCCTTATTTTTTTCTTGGATTTTATTTTACATTTTGCTTTTACTTGAGTAGTAATATATTGAAATAGTGCTACTCTTATTTGAATATAATTTTTGGGTACTTTAACTACCTTTGTTGGAGAGAATCTTTAAAAGAATAGACCAGAGAAAATGGGAACAAAAAAGGTGTTATTAACAAGTTTCATATTTAATTTTTGTTGTGTTATGTGTTGATACATCCATTAAGTTTGGGAGGGTTTTTGTGTCAGTGGTTAATTGGTCACTAACTCTGGTCAGTTTCTCCAGAGGCAAAAGAAAACAGTTGCTCAAAACCGTTTTTAAAAGGCTTTAAAAAATCTGGCTTCTTGGAAACACTTGGAATATAATTTCACATTAATATCAGAGTAAAAGTAGTAATATAAAAAACTAATGAAATCCCTCCTGACCTTTCATAAATTTGACCAATCCAAATCAAGACATGTAAATTTTATTCTTGAATTTCAAATTAATTCAAATTAAAAAGGAGCAGAAAATCTATTTTTTCTACTTCAAAGCATAGACATTGCTTTTTAGTGATGTTTCTGAATTGAAGGTCACCTTTTGCATGTTTGCAGACATGGATGTATATATGACTCAGCAGAGTGGAGCAGAAATTAAGGTTTCCACAGATGCATGGTGGTGTTCTCCTTACTCACATGGATCATGGGAAATTCAAAATATGCTGCATTAAAAAATAATATTCTGCTGCACATTGAGACACTTTATGCTGTTTTTATTAATTTTAAGAACTAATTTAAATGTTTATAATATCAAAAATTAAATAATTGTATTTCATAATAATAATAATACTTTTTAATATATTTAATAATAATAATAATAATAATAATAATAATAATAATAATAATAATAATAATAATTATTATTATTATTATTATTATTATTATTATTATTATTATTATTATTATTATTATTATTTTATTATTATTGTTGTTGTTGTCAAAAGTTTTTGTCTGGAGGTGGAAGTAATTAAAATATTCAGCAGATTTAAAAGGAAGGATAAAAACGTATTAACTGTCAGTTACATCAGAGTCAAACTGATGCAGTCATTTAAATTTTTTTAAGTTTCCTGACATTGCAACAGTCACGCAGGTAAAACACACCCTTCTGCGGTCGAGATGCGTTCAAAAGCCGTCCGCCTTTTCTCGGCGGACTGAAACAGGTAGACTATCATATCTGAACGATTGCTTGAGATTATATTATTTTCATATCTAATATTTATTTAACATCTAACATAAATTAAGTGACAGCAGCAAAAGTGAAAGCGTGTGTCTGGAGCTCTTTGGAAAACCTGGCGAAGTGACGAATCTCGCCGTGCTTGCCATCTCCGCCGGCTCGCAGGGGGGCAGGTCGTGCGCCAGTAGCTCCTCCCTTCCCGGTGATTCACCTCTCCGGCTCCTCATAAGCGGTCATACCTGAGTCGTGTGGCGCAGAGGGGGTTGCCAGGTGAGAGCAGGTCCTCCGCTGCGATGTAACATCTGCGGAAGACCTTGATAAAGATCGTCCACAGTCCTGCGAGGCGGTGAGTCCCTCCTCTGAAATGTTTAAATACAACAGAGAAACTGCTTTTTAACTGTTTATGATAATGAAGCGCAGTTTTAAAAGTTATATAATCAGCTGTTTATCATTAATTTGGGATGTTTTTCTGTAAAAGAGGCGTGCGCGTGAGTGTGGACGCGCGCGCAGGCTTAAGCAACACGATGTAATCTAACACCATGTAGTGACATGCATCACACGGGTTACTATAACTGAGTGTACTGTAATCATGAATTTAGTTAGATTAAGCTCTGATTTTAAAATAATACTTCTGCCATCACATTAATATTTAATAAATATTATTTAAAGGAAGTAATGTGTGTTATTATGGATATTGTGATATTTTTTAACCAAGAAGCAGAATAAAATAACCATATGTGGAAGGCTGCTGTGTTTTAGTGAGGTTAATAAATATAGCAGCATGGAAACACCGTTTTGTTGGTGACCATTTCTCCAACAATATGTGCTTTTCAACGTCAAATATAATGGTTGTAATTTACTCCGGCTGTTCAGATCCTCACTAAATACATTTATTTTTTTTTTTTCAATTAGACTAAATTGTTTCAGGTTTAGGGCTTTAATAAGCAGTGACAGTTTAACAGTTGGTTTTATGTTTTTTACATGCAGTTTGTTTTGTCTTCTCCCAGAGTTGGGAAATAAGGAAATAAAGCTTCATGCAGGGCCCGCCTAACGCAGCAGGAAGCGATCCTGTTGAAACTTGCCAGAGCAGGTGTAGTTACACAAAACTGAGTTTGCTGTCGCTGTGTTTGTGGCACAGGGAAAAAAAATCAACAAAAAACAAATGTTCAGAAAGCTACAGACACACACATCATTACACATACACTTTATATTTCTCCTGAGGATGACAAGTTACACCTTTCAAGGTTGTCAGCCTGTGAAAAAGCCACTTTGAGGTTCTTAGTTTTCCCTTTGAGTCAGTGAATTTCCAGTAAGTGTAGAAACTTGTAGAACAAGCAGCAGAGCAGCCACTCTGACATGAATTTACAGCTTGGATGTCGGCATTTCAGAGCCCACATTGACTGTGCGAGTCTCTATGTGGCCCCGCAGCATCTAAATAAACATGAACTCCTTGGAATAGGGAAGTGCCTAATGTTATCTCAAGTGAATCTGTGTTTGTCAGACATGCTAATAAAGAAACTACGCAGTGTAGCAATTACCCCTATAGTGCAATGTGATGATTCAATTTAACTTAAAATTGCAGCACAGCAGTTTTTGCATTCAATCCCGCCAAACGAAATTTGCCTAGTGCAACTAAAGCAAAGTGGCTCTTTGAAACAAAAATAATTGGTTTTTATATATATGTTTAGATTTTTAAATTAGACACCAGAAAATATTATTTAATACATTAAGTTTTTAAAAAATCACTTTATAGAAAATAATATTCCTTACTACTAGTGCTATGCATGTCTGGGAAAATGGAAAAATTACATTTACATTTTAAAACATGGCTAATGTTTTTAGAACGTTATTAGTCGCTGCAGTGGAATGAAGGCTTGTCACAATAACAAATTTTGCTGTATAATAAATTGTCCCAGTAATTATTCCCATAAACAACATTATTATTGTTTTGAGACCATTTTCAAGTAATATGCCATAATAATGCAAGTTCACCCTTTCAATGCCTAATAAACATTGAATATCCAACAACTAAAAACAATAAATAAAAAGGAAATAAAAACTATGTACAATCAAAACCTTAAATAAATTGGATTATGAAGTATTTTTAAACAAAACTGCACTTTAAAAATTATGAATCATCAGAAATGATCAAGGTCATTTTAATTTAACATGCGATTAATTGATTAATCGCATGTTTGATTGATTGCCAGGTTAGCGGAGCATCTAAAATTATTTAATTGTCTTTTTATTGTCTGGTGATCAGAAAAGACAGATTGAGATCTAACAGGAAGGCCAATAATTTTCAAACAGAATCTAGTTATTTTCTACGGAGGCCCCTACAGGCAAAAATTTTTATTTTTGCATTACCTCAATAAATTAACAAATACGACCTGGTTTATTTTGTGTACACGCATAATTTTAACAAATCTCCATTTAAAATTGCATCTGTGTATATAGACCTTTAAAACGTGTTTCTCCATTCTTCACTCTTTGGTGCAGAAACTGGTTGAAAATCGATCTCCTTGCGTGTTCAGGTTTGTTTGTGTAAGGTGGAGATGGGACTGCCCATGAAAACGCTCCTTTACTAACCATTCAGACTAAAAGACAAAACTGTCTGATGACTTTATTACCCTGTGAAAATAACTCAAAAATTATAGTCCAAATAGGCTGGATGTATTTTTTCTTTCTCATGGAAAGTTTCTGTTTATATCTTAGAAGGAATGGAAAGAGAAAGAATGATTGACCTGTTTTACTTTTGCATTTTGCACATAAGTTTGTGGTGCATTTGTATTCTAAAGTCAAATATATAAAATTTCAAATATTACACTTATGAGATATTAGCATACATGGAAAAACCTTAGAAAAACCCTAGATTGTAGCACAAAGACTTCCATTATTCAAGATGTTGCATGAAGTGACTAGTACAACGATGCGAGAGAACGCAAAAAATTTGCCATGTAATGCAAAAGAAAAAAAAATGTTCAAAAGTACTTTATTGATCCCAAAGGGAAATTAAATGTTGTTGAAACTCATTAATTCTTCAGAGTTACTGTAGATGTTGATGACTGGTGGCAGGAAGTAGCCGTCTGTATTACAGCGAATTTGAAGAAGCCTCTGACTGAAGACACTCTGTTTTCCCCAGGTTCCCTAGGGGGCGCCATAATATTCTGTAGGAAAGTCTGATCTTGAAGAAAAATTGAACACAACCAGCAGATGAATGAAAGAGTGACAATGTTTTCAATGAAGACATGATAAAACCGATTTTAGAAAGTTTATTGACTCCAAAGGATCGAAAAATCATAGAAAGTATCGTAAACAAAGTTATATTTACTCAATTACATTTACTTGAGTAACTTTTAGGAGTTTTTTTTTACTATGCTGTATGCTGAAATTTTATTATGAAGCATTGCTACTCTTGAGTAAAATTTCTGAATTTTCTATCCACTCAATGAAAAACAAACATGTTTTAACCAAAAATTCACCAGACACAGACACACAGCTGCAGTTTTCGTTAAAGTTGTATCATTTTTATATTGAACGAAACTCATTTGGAAAAATTTTGTTTTGTCTGATTTTATTTGTTGTTATTTATATGAATTATTGTCATTTTTGTTCTTAAAATACCAAAATATCCACTTAACTTCACATTTTGCTCCATCTTATGTATTTTTTAAATATTAAATTATGTATAATTTAATCAGTTGATCAGTAAACTTTTTACCAAATACTTTTTTACTCTTACTTGAGTAATCTCTTGGATGGCTACTTTTTACTTTTATTTGAGTAAAAATATATTGAAGTAGTGCTACTTTTACTTGAGTACAATTTCTGTGTACTCTGTCCACCTTTCATAGTAAACTACACCCTCTTTCAATCAGCTGACTGAGCAGTGTGCAGCAGCACTTCCCTGCTTTCATCTCTCTGGTACTTTCACTCACGTCTTATTTAAAGTACAACAGGAAATATGGATGAGCATTTTCATAGTTTTGTCATCAGTTAGCGGTCATTGCCTCTACCTTCACTTTTTTAAAGCTTCCTGTATTCCCATCACATCTCAACTCTTCAGTTTGAATATCATGTTTTATTATTGTGTGGGTTAAATGTGATGTTTTCCCTGCATGTCTCTGTGTTTCAGGTGTAAACAAGACGCGCAGCTGAGCCCCGTGTTTACAGTACTTTTTTGAGGACATGCTGTTGGTTTCTCTTGGCTGTGTCGATGTATAACGCCAGGATGAGGACGCACCTCGGTTTGGTTATCCTCTGTGTGCTGTCAGCAGCCAGAGTTTGCAGCAGTAAGTTAACATTTGATATTCATTTTGTCAGAAGGTTGTGTTGAAAGTGGTTGTTTTGTTTAAATTTTTGAAATGAAGGCAGAACCTAAATACAAGTAGTTATACTTCTTGTTTTACATTTGTTCTCTCTGTGAACTGAAGTTCAGTTTTTCCATCAAAGCAAGTAGTTTGTCTTACTCTGTATTCACAATCCACTGCAGCTTTTAAGTGGCTGAAGGATATTTAATCTGTTTCAATTTTGCAATTCAAAGCTTAAACACTCAAACTTCTTTCCATGAAACCATAGATCACAAAAGAGCAGAAAGATAAGAAGGTTGTGTGTGACGTGTGCTCTGATTGCGTGAACAAGAAACTTTTGAATGATTGTAGCTGAAAGTTTTTTCAAATCTGCTTAATAGAAAAATGAAAAAGAGGGATTGAATAGCCTCCACTTGAAGCTGGTGTTTTCATTTTTATGGAGATTATTTCAGGTCTATCTTGACATTTATCTCTGTGTGACTTTTGCACTTCCTCTCTCCCACTCAGGACAATGGCACTGTATTGTGACACGGTGTCATATTTTACCAATCATCGCTCTTCTCCCTTATCTTTACATCTCTCTGTAGCTCACAAACCTCTTTACAGCTTGTCTCCTTTAGACTTTAAAACAAGCACTCTAGCAGAGCTGCTTGTTGCTGCAAAATGATTAGTTTCTCTGATTTTACTTTTTATAGATAAATGTTTGAGTAAAATGAACATTGCCTTTTCATTATATGGACTACTGACAACATGTCTCCGAAATTCCAAGCAAAAACTTAGTATTTTTTTTGGAAGAAAATGAGAAGTGGTCAAAATCACATAAAATATGCAGTGCTTTCAGACCTCTCAAATAATGCAAAGAAAACAAGTTCATATTCATTGAGACACAACAATACTAATGTTTTAACCCACGAAGAGTCCAGAAATCAATATTTGGTGGAATAACCAGGTTTTCAAAGGGGCTCAGTGCAGTGGTCTCTTCATTTATTCCAGAGCTACAGCCAGCTGAGGTTGGTGGAATCAACCAACTCACTCACTCTTTGGTTACCTAGCAACTCACTCACTCTTTGGTTACATGGCAACAACATGTTCCAGCAGTTCAGCAGCAGTTTCAGGTTTCGCCACCATTCCTCATCACTGCTTAAAAATAAATGATGACATGGAGTGAAAACTGAGGATAAATTAGGAAAGGTCACGCAACCAGTTTAGCAGTATTAAACAAATCAGTTAAAAACAAATCAATAACCATTGATAAACGGGTATTAAACACTTACATCGTAATAAGTTTTTAAGTCCAGCCCTGAACTTATACACGGAAGTCACTATATCTATCTATCTATCTATCTATCTATCTATCTATCTATCTATCTATCTATCTATCTATCTATTTATCTATCTATCTATCTATCTATCTATCTATCTATCTCATATATATATATATATATATATATATATATATATATATATATATATATATATATATATATGTATATATGTATATATATATATATTTATATATATATATATAGGATATGTAGGATTTATATTTTCATTGTAGAAGATGACTCTGCATGCTTCCCTATAACGTAAACATGATCTTCTGGAGTGGCCAGCATTTTTCAAGTGGGGGCCATGGCCCCCGCTAACCCTCCCTTCGGGGTCACCACTGACAGAGAAGCAATCTAAGACTTCCTAGCTCTGTATCTCGCCATACCATAAGGCCTAACAAATCATATATTTTTACATCATGGATTGCCAAACAAAACAACTGAAGCTTTTTCAGCGTCTGTTTCTACGATCTGAGTATTATAAATCTAGCGCTCTGTGGCTCCAGTCACTGATCTGAGGTGCTGTTTTTGCTATAATCCTGGATGCAGGGCATGTACTTAATGGCTTTTACATAAAATATTTTCCTGCTTGTTAAGCACTGTGTTGGATTTTACAAAATTTATGGACTTCAGAGAAACATTAAAATGGAGCTACTTTGAAATCAAAGACTCCATAGCAACCCAGAATAAAAGGACGTGAAAAGGTTACAACTACTTAGTGTTAAAGATCAGCTAATTAAAATAAATCACTCAGCGGTAAAATGGGCAGGTCCTTTTCTACTTAGCAGTTAAAAATCACCACTGAAAGTTTTGGTTTTGGATTACTTTTCTTATTTTCTGTTATTTTGAAAAAATATTTTTAAAATTAATTTTTAAAATTTTTTGGCTATTTTTCAGTTAAAATTGGAACTTACCTTTTTTCCAGCTAAAACTACTGTTTTATTTCATTTTAATTCAGATAGTTTAGGTTTTGAGGTATAATGAATTTTGTTTAATTATTATTTTATAACAGGTTGCTTTATTCTGTTTTCTTTGTTTTTATTTTACCTTTTCATCTTTGTATTTTTTATTTTAGATTTATAACATTTGAGTTTTTTTATTTCATTTTTTAATTTATTTTGTACTGAGTATCGGAAAATTAACAAAACAAACAACGAAAATTGCGAGAATAAAGTGATAATATTACAACTTTATTCTCATCTTAACTATTTTTGTTTTAATTATTTTTAATTTTATTACGTCTTGTATTTTTATTTATTTTTTATTTTCTTCCACGGTCCTGATATTATAAATTAATAGCAACAATAAAAACTAAACTCAAATTCAGGGCCAGGGTAGGGAAATAAAAAAGTAAAATGATGAGAATAAAGTAAAAAAATAAAATATAATAATAATAATAATAATAATAATAATAATAATAATAATAATAATAATAATAATAATAGGATAAAGTCTATAATACTATGACTTTTTTTTTTTTTTTTGTATAAAATTTTTTAGATTATATTTTATTTTTGTTTTATTTTTATGTTTGGATTTTTATTACATTCATCATACTGTATGAGTTTGACCTCTGCCAAATTGGTCTGAAAATGACTTCATGCCTTTGTGTGCTGTTTAAAGAAACGACTAGATTTTACATAATAAAAAACATATTTTTGTTTATTATATGTTGAAGAAACTATGTCTTCAGAACTAGGTGACACTTTTAAAATGTACTGAAAGCTCTGAATACAAACTAACTTTGATTGAAGATTACAAATCATCCATAATTACATGAGGTAACTTGTAAACAGCTGTACTCATAATGCAGTGGCCCAGAGTGGGAATTAGCATTCATAATTTGTTTGCCACTCTTGTTGCCCAGGTACATCTGCACCAGAGAGTCCCAGAAAATTTGACTGCAGGTCCCGAGAGAAGGAGACATTTTCCTGCTGGTGGGAGCCAGGCTCTGACGGAGGGCTGCCGACTGAATATCGCCTCTTCTACACGCAAGAACGGTCAGTTTATTCTACATATTTTGACCTTTTTGTCTTGAATCAGCGGGTCACAGTTCAGACAGACGATGGGAAAAAGGGGAGTGGCATATGGCACAGTTTCTCAGTTGGGGTTTATGCGCTCTGTATATTTTGTTTGTTTTAGCCACAAGGCCACCAGATGGCCCTTAGAGTTCCCGATAAGTTTATCAGCTACAATGATGGGAGTAAGACACATTTTTAGTTGCTCCATAAACACGCTGATGGAAAACGACAAAGTCCTTCTGTGGGTAAAAAGGGAGCACATATTTCATTGGTGAAGGAGTTCACGTCCTCATCTAAAACCCTGAACTCACCTGTGAGAGCTTCAGCTGCTCTGACCTCACATTAATATTAGTAATTGTAGCTTAAAGGGGAACTATTATGCAAAATTCACATTTTGCATGTGTTTGTACTTGCATTTGGGTCTCTACTGCTTCTAAAAGCAGCACAAATGCTTAAAAAAAAACACCCAGCCAGTTTTGGGCAATAAATTAATGGTGTTTGGTGTCTGGAAAATGATTATCTCAAAAATCTCTAGAATGTAGCTTCACAAATCAGCAGGCACTGCCCCTCACCTAGCAACCCAAGTGGAGCCCAGCCTGTTACCTAGCAACCCCAGAAAACCCCAGCCCTTCACCTAGCAAGTTTGGCCAGCTGGTTTTGTTGTTTATTTAACATTCAGAAACCACTTGTTGCATTGTTATTGGTTGTGCAGGAGGCGCTTCTTCGTCTTTTCAAAGACGGTTGTCTGTTTGCAGCCAGTTTTATGAAAAGTAAATTCATAAATGTAAGGCGTGGCCAGCAGCAGCTTATTTGGATATTTTTTTTTAAAATTAGTTTTTATGATGGAATCCACACTTTCTTTTCAACAGGAGTCTTTTCTTTCTGTTGCCACATGCTTGGCGGATTGCTGCAAAAATCAATGACTTGATATAGTTAACTGGGCTTCCTTAGATAGCCTTTTATAACCTTTTATATTGACTGAAGTGGAGGGCACTGTATTATACAGGATCAAATCTGAGTGTAAAGCTGAATTTTAAATCTGTAAATGATTGGTTTGCTCTGATTTTATAGTTCTGGATTTGAATTGCACCTGTTTATTTTGCAAAGTGCCTGTAAGATTATGCTATTTAGATAGAGATTACGGCAGCTTATTAGCCACATTTTAAGATATTTGATCATCTGCAAAAATTATCTTATCACAAAACCCACTTTGAAACTATTGAGTAATTGTCCATAATAAATGTCTAATTGCATATCGACTGTAGACACAACGACTTCACAATTTCCCTCATTTATGATAATAATAGGTAAATTTCTAACAGTCCAGACTGTCTTCTGCTCCTGCTAAGTGGTTTTCATTTCTTTGCTTGATATTCTTAAAGCCTACAGATGTTTTGCATCTTTTCTGTGTTGTTTACAGTATAGCTCAAAACTATTGACACATATTATCTCTTTAAATTTGCTCAAAGGTCTTTATGACATTAAAATAAGATTTTTTCATCCTGGTTATTAGACAAAAAGTCTCTGTTAATTTGACTTAGTTCCCATTTAGAGAATCTATTTCCTTTAAAACAATTTGTTTTGTTTTTATGCTCAGTTTTATCTAAAAGCTATTTTTTTTTGCGTACAAAAGTTAGACAGCTCAGTTCTTGTAGTGATTACACCATTTTTTCAAAATTGCATAATCATTTCTCATTCAAACAGCTCACTGGTTGCTATGGTAACTATACTGGTTGCCATAGCTGGTTGCTCACTGGTTGCTATGGTTGCTATAGCAGGATTCATTGTATACCAATGAATGTCAGGGGAATCAACTTTTTCACTAAACAAAATGAATTTGAAGAATAAATAAATGAGTTTTGATAAACTTCACCCATAGTATTGTTAAAATAAAACCGTTACACTTGATTACTGTGACTTTGAATCAGTCTTTGCTTTCACGGTTGGTTCAGACTTTTAGTTGAGTCTTATAAACCTGAATATGTCACCCGCTGTTCTTGCTTCACTCCACTGGCTGCCTTTCTGTTTGTTTTTTTTCCTTTTGTCAAATTTTAATAATATTTTTTCATTTTTGCCTCACCTTGCCTTGCTGATTTCTTCTGAACTACAAAAACACAAAATTTTATTTTTGGTCTAGTTTCTCATGCAAATATCTTAGTACATTTGAAATAAGACCAAACTAAGTTACAAGTAGGACGTTGTAAAAGATTTGTGTTTAGCTGTACTGATGCTTATAAATGAAGCATCTAATCGTTTATAGATTAGACGTTCTCTTCTTTAAGTTTTTACAGCAGCGTTTTGCTTCCACTTTCTGCCCAGTAAAGGTCTGGTTTTCCTGTTTTACAGCTTGAGAGAAGTCCGTGAGTGTCCGGACTACGTCTCTGCTGGAGCAAACTCATGTTTCTTTGATAAGAAGCACACTTCCATCTGGGCTGAGTACACCATGACGGTGGTGGCTACAAATGCCTTGGGGAATGCCTCAGAAGAGTTCCGGATAACGGATGTGATGGAATATGGTAAGTCGAGACCACAAGGCTGCAACCTGTGGCTCTTATTAACTTTGGCAAAAACATAAATATTTAGCAATTTCTAAAAATGAAAGAGTAATAAACAAATGCAGATTAGCAGATTTTTTTTAAAAACTAGTAGAGTCAGGAATATTTTTTAAGTAATTTTTTTGTCTCTAGAATGCAAATTTTTTTTTAAAACAAATTACATAAAATGTAAAAGTTAGTGTTCATTTCCTTTTATGAAAAAGTTTGATATAAAAAAAAAGTAGTTTTCCTTTATTTAAAAATAAAAAAAAATCCTTTATAGATATTTAAAAAATTGCTATCTTGTTTTAAAGGGTCATGTAGTTTTGGGGCTCTAAACGACTACTGACCCCTGGCCCCTGACCCCTGACCCCTGACCCCTGACTTAGGCAGAATAAAGGAAACAGGCAAAAAACTGTAAATATTCAGTGACTGTCAGAAATTGACATAAATTCATCCAGCATTAATTTGATATAGGTTTTGAGTTCTTAAAGTGTGATTTTAAAAGTTTTTTTTCTAGATGAAATTAGCATACTGCAAAAAATAAAAGAAATTAAAAACTTGTATACAATGAAAAAATGTTTGTTTGGACCAACATTAAAAATTACTCTAACTTGTTACAGCTAATTTTGCTCAAGGTAAAATTCAAATTTGAATAATTGTGAAGTCAGAGCAAAACTAGCTAAAACAGATTGCAGTAACTCTTTTTAAGTTGGGTCAAAGAAACACTTTTTTCAGTGTAGACTGGAACTGATGGAGGGAGGTTTTGGTTTGTGAAGCGCATTGCAGTAATCCAGATGAGACAGAAAAAAACATGAATTAAGAGAAACAAAAGGACAAAGTTTGGCAACATTTTGCAAATGGTAGAAACAGAATCGAATTGGAGACTTGATATGATTTTTGAACATAAAATATAAGTCAAAGGTTATCCCAACGTTTCTAACAGAAGATGTAGCCAAATAATGAAGACACTCAAAGATCTGCTTTATCTTTACAGTTATGTTTTCTGGTGCAAACATGATTTAGTTTTTTCTTTATTTAATGTAATGTAATATGAATATACTGTATTTAGGTAGCACATCTAACTAAATGATTCATTGCCTCTAAGCTCAATAAAATAATTAAGTGTAACATAGAAAGACAAATGAACATACATTTTACAAACTCTTAAAAATGTAACTGAAGGCTTCATTGAGTCCTTCATTGAAAATATTTATTTAAAATGAATTTAAACAAGCATGGCAGATTAACAATGTAATATTTACAGCTGCTGCAAATGGGGCTGTAAAATTTCCACAACAAATAAAACATGCACTACGTAATCATATCACTAAGGACAAATACACGACTGAATAAACATACAGTCAACTGAAATAACGTCTGTCCACAAATATTCCCATAACATGAGCTTTAAATTCCACCTTGGAGGTAAAGAAAATCCGGTTTTAGGGCTTTTATTGTTTATTCAGGTCCAGCAGACTGAAACAATAAACAAATGTATTGCAGGGCAAGTTTTTGAAACCGTTATGATAATCAAGTTCACAAATCGAGTGTTGCACGTAGAAGATAACTGTGCAACAGTTTACAGACATGGTGGTGACAGACGAAAGAGATTTTTGTTTCAACAAATTCATTTTGTGATAAGTGTGTAATAAGTTAAGGGAGGAACATGGAGTTCTCAATGGAGCATTTGTTACAATAAAGAGAGGATGTTCATGCTGTTCTGTGAATGATGTCAACATGATCTAAAATTAGATTGTATAAAGTTAAAAACTATGCAATTTACTTAAGAGTAAAATGGAAATCAGATGGCTTCCCATGTTTTTTATCTGAGTTCTCAATAACCTTGATAGTTTTCCTTAGGGTTGGACAATATGGCTGAAAGACGCATGTCAATAATTATTTATTGATCAGTTTTTTGTTTTAAAGATCTGAAATACTGCCAAACTGGTTGTGTGACCTTCACTGTATTATACATAGTTTGCTTTCCAATCATTAATTAATCTACAAATGATCAAGTATACACTCAAGGACTGCTGTGTTGTGAATTTTAGGCAATAAAATGTTTATTTTCACATTTAAAAACGGAAATGAACTACTCAATTATTAGCCTATTTTAATGTGTTGTGCATATTGTACTAAAAAGGCTGAAGTGGTTGAATGGAAAATCTGAAGAATGTGACATTTTATTATGATTAATCATTCAGATAATCAATTACTTGATTAATCGTTAGTTGTAGCCCTACATCTTACCAAAAATAATCTGCATTCTGTTGTTAAGAGAGAGTATATAACTAATCTATATATTTCTGAAAAAAAAAAGTTTAAAATGGTAATACAAGGTGAACTGTAGTGAAGTAAAAGTTTATTGGTTTTCTATTGAAAGTTTATGACTCTAGTAACATTAAATCCTTATTATTGTTCTCACGTTGTGATGTCTTTGTCTATAAAAGGTAAAATCATAGAGTCCTTTTTAAGAATATCCCTGGAATATTATGAATCTAAAAAGTAAAATGTCAGTTCAGGAAACAAACACAGTTGACCTTCACTATGAGTTTGTGCAGAAAGAAATCAACACAGTTGAGAATTATCTTTATATAGCGAGCTAATGATTGGCTCGGTTTTATTGGCTGCCCTGCCGTCTTGAGCGCAGGGAGGAATGGAAAAGTACTGAGAGATGAGTGAACGGCAACAAAGAAAAGTAGAACAGAATGAGGTAGAACAGGTTCAAGCCCTTGACATGTTGTGTACAATCACAGATCAGATTTCACAGCCGTTGTTTGGTTATAAAGGCGGCTCATGTCAATTCTGTCCCAAGAGAGCTAATAGTTACGCTATTTAGGTAGATTTTATTTTTTATTTTCTGCACTGAATCCATGTCCAAAGAAATCACCCAGTTAGTGAAAAGAACCAATTTAATGTCAGCACAAATCCAGCTGTTCTGTGAAGGTCTAAGAATTTTTTTAGACAAATAATAGCATCATGAAGACCATAAGAGATCCACATCTTAGTGGGAAAATTTGTTTAAGTGCAGTTTTATACTGCAAAAACAAAAAATCTTACCAAGTAGTTTTGGTCTAGTTTTTACTGCACATATCTAACAACAAATAAGACAAAACTAACTTCAAAATAATTTTTCAGTAAGTTATAGGAGCTAGTTTCAAAGATGCAGTGTGTTACTTTCATTAAAAACATATTTGTTAAAACTGTCATCATGTTGTGACTGGTATGAGACAGGTAATCGGTGAAAAGATAAAGCTGCTCCACTTCCTCCTGGAGCTACAACTGCCGACCAAAAACAACCAATCACAACCAGGAGGAGGGTCTTAGCGCTGTCAATCATGTTCTTATTGCTAAATATAATGATGGAGAAACAACTTGCCATTACAGAAAAATATTTAATCTGCCATCATCTGTGGTTATGCTAACTAGCCTGAGCATTCATGCTATGCTAGCTGCAGCATAGCGTGAATAGCTAGGAGGGAGTTTGGCACGGGGGACATAAGCGCCACACAAGATTGTGATAGACAGCATTAAGACTCGCCTCTTTGCTCTGATCGATTGTTTCTAGTTAGCACTGGAAGAAAACAGAGAGCTCAACTTTGTTTATTTTTTTGTCTCATACCAAACTGTCACCACATCAACAAATATGTAAACAAATATATTTTTTAATGAAAGTTACATAGCTTTAAGTGAATAAGTTCTTAATATTGATGAAAAACTATTTGTTCCAGATTATTGGCAGATTATTTAACTTATAATATAGGGAAAATGTCTTGTTAAAATAATCTGCTGATAGAACTACTACTTTACTAAGGAATTATTGACTCTTATATTATGCTGAAAAGTTATTTGCCAGCTATTTTTGTCTTGCAGAAGAAACTAGACCAAAATTAGTCGGTAGGATTTTGTGTTTTTGCAGTGTATGCTGATGCAGAGATTGTTGTGCTAATATTTGTCCTTCCTCCTATTAGTCCCCCTTTCCTGTATTTCTCTGATTCTGAGTAAGCTCAGATTTGGTCAATACTTGATGTGTTAGTCTTTATCATAGCTCAGATCTAAGACACTGACTAAACTTATCCCATTAAGTTTAATATTAGATTTTCTTTTCTAATGGGTAGAGAGGCAGTAAACTTAATGCAGTTATTGACTTTGTTCCTTGTTTTTCTTTGGCCGACAGTGAAGCCCGACCCTCCTGTAAATGTCACAGTGGTGGTGAACAGCAGCGCTCCCAGTCCATTTCTTGAAATAAGATGGAAAAGTCCTCCAGACGTGGACGTCAGAACCGGATGGGTCACCCTAAAATATGAGCTGAGGGTTAAACAAAACGACAGTAAGGAGTGGAAGGTGAGTGTTTTATGTGAGAAACTGCAAACCGGACCGTTTAAAGCTGAGAGGCTTCTGTACGTTCCTTAGTTTCCCAAAGAATTGGCCCTCAAGGTGAAGGTCCGCCATCTGTCTCACAATCATTTACAGACAAATTGGTCTCTGGGTTGAACTAAAATCACCCCAGCAAGTTATAACCAAATATTGTTGAACTTTTATCTTTCTTACGTCAGTCTTGTTGCCTTCAGCTTCAGAACTTTGTACTTTATTAATACTTTATTTTGCAAATTATATATATATATATATATATATATATATATATTTTTTTTTTTTTTTTTTGAAAAATAAGCCGCTTTAAAGAACTTGAGATTAAGAAACATTTTAC